GTTGTGGGTTCAGTCCCCAGCTGGGGCACATGCAAGAGGCAACGGGTCAATGTCTCTCTCACATCGATGTTTCTCTCCCTCCCTTTCTCCCTCCCTTCTCTCTCTAGAATTATTAAAAGACAAAAATCAAGAGGAATAGAAGATACAGAAATGGGCAAAAGACCTGAACAGAGAGTTCGTAGAAAATGATGTACAAATGGCCCATACGTATGAAAATATGCTCATCTTGCCTCCCTTTATTTGATTCCTCATTGTAATTTACATACAACATTTTTACAGTGTAAAAGAGGAAAAGAAAATATGCTCATCTTCATCTATAAGGGTATAAACTACACTGATGCCCCCTGTCACCTAAAAGGCTGACAGAAGTCTGACAGCACTCACAGAAAAAGTGAGTTGGGGAAAACCAGGTGCGCTCACATGTTCCTGGTGAGACTGTTTGTATCACATGTTCCAGAGTGATACAAACCCTGGGGGGCGGGAGGGATTGAGAATTGACAACATCTGACAAAACAGGTGTTTACCCTTTTACCCAGCTGTCTCGTTTCTGGGATTGAACCCTGCAGACGCCCGCCCACACATGTGAACCAGACTGTGACCGAGGCTGACCCGTGCAGCACTGTTTGCGACAGCAAAACACTAGAAACAATCTAGATGTCCTTATGCAGGAGACTGGTTGAAAAAAGGGAACAATCCGCACAATGCAGGGCCATGCAGCCATTTTTGAAAGATGAGGACAATCTCTATGAAGCAATTTCTCCTGTTAATGAAAATAAAAATCAAGGTATGAGGAAAGTTTATGCTGTTACCTGCTTTGTGTAAGGAAGAAAGGAAAATGAAAATGCAGGTATGTATTCCTTAGTGCTGTGGAAGAAAGGAAGGGAGCGGGGAGGGAGAGGAGGAGGGCGACAAAGAGGCAAAGGAAGGCAGAGCTGAGGGAGGACGGCCGGAGATGGAGGGAGCAAGCAGGAACGGGCGGAGGGCCATGGGTGGGAGCACGCCTTTCTGTAGTTTTGACCTTTGAATGAGGAAAAGAATGTACATATTCAAAAAATAAAATCATGGAAATAAACCCTCAGTCAAATATGAAACAAATGAACTGTATATCAAATTCATAACATTACTTCAGAGAGAAAAAACAATGCAAGAAACTTTTAAAACCAGTGTTCTGTGTGCCCTAAAAGGATGTGTTTCTAGGGGAAAAGAGGGCTGCAAAGAAATCCTGAACTTGACTTAGTGGATTTGTTATTGACAATGGCATCAACTGTAAAATTACAAAACTGTTGTCTGTGTATTGTAGAATAGAAGAAATATAGAAATACAGGGGTAGGCAAACGTAGGTTCACGATGCACTTTTGAGTTAAAAAAGCCATTGCAATAATCACAGCCTGTATGTCTTTTTCTATACAAACAATTGTAAACTACTTTTGCTTACCCTGTATATTAAAATTATTGGAAATCAGGACTGTTGGAGAAACAGAAATATGAATACAGAATACAGGAAACTGCAAACGAACTCTGGTCTTGGATTTATACGGGTGGTATCAGTAAGCTTGGAGCCATCTCTATACAAAATGTCTTAGCTCTGTTCATTGAAAGGGCCCAGAAGCATGACACTCAATGTAAAGAACACACCTAGTTACTGGATCTTGATTGATAAATACAATTCCCCACTAGAAAACACCAGGATTTCTTGAAGAAATGACTGATTCCAAGGTTAGGGCAAAGAAAGTAAAAGGTGAGCCTGGAACATCTTGTGCCAGGAAGGTGTAGTGGGCACCCCCCAACCATCCGGTCAAACTTCCCGTGGCCAGCGGTACTCCCGACAGGAGTCAAGAGAGTATCTACCACCTGGGCTGTACTCCTGCCAGACAGGTTTCACTCCAATCTAAACCGGAGGAAACAAAAGCAGAGTTGGGGAGGGGGAGGGGGAGGCGGAGGGGGAGGCGGGGGGGGCAGTCTCCAAGGCAACCAGCCTGGGCTCTGAAAAGAGTCAAATGAAAAACAGAAAGTAAACAAAGGGGGGGGGCGGTGTCAGTTCTAGTTTTTAAAAGATTCAAGAGACACAACAACCAAATTCAATGTGTGTAAATTGGACTTCTGAGAATTTTTAATAACCATAACAGGCATGTGGGAACAATTAGGAACATTTAAATATAGATGGTACATCAGATGAGTAAATGTCCCCTTTCTTAGGTGAGCTAACATATTGCACTTACGAAGGAGAACGTTTTTACTCTTGGGTTAGGAGAACGTTCTTATTCTGGGGAGGTATCTGCTGAAGTATTCAGGGGTGAGTGTCCCGAGATCTGTGCCGTATTCCAAACATCTCAGAAAAATGGAATCAGACAGAACTCAAACATGGCAGAATGTTAACAATCAAAGCAGAGAAACACACATTACTGAACTCTTCTTTCAACTTTTCTGTAAGTTTGAGAATTTTCAAAATAAAACCTTGGGAAAAACTAAGTGCTCTGATGCTTCAGAGCCCAATAGAAGAAAAAGTCATGAAAAATCCTCCGTTGGCAAGGGTTTTGCAAATGCCTCGTTCACAGTGCATGAAGGGAAGTGAGCTGCTTTTGTGGGAGGTCCACAGTGCCCAGGGCCAAGGTGACATCCCAGTCTCTACGGTGGACGACAGGTAGTGACCGTGCTGCCCTTTGCCAAGGTAGCAAACAAACATGGGATGAGGAGCCAGTTTTAGAGGGACACGGGAATTAAACACTCAGTTCTGGCACTCATAGACTCCAAAAGCCCACGCCAGCCCTGGGTGTAAACCCCTGGTGCAGAAGACAGACCCGAGTGTAAAACATACCGCAGAGGGGTGATGGGTAGAGGAAAGGAGGCACGAAGGCAAGTGGGTGGGGTCACGGATGCCAGGAAGAGGGGTCCAACAATGCAAATGCCACCGAGGCATCATACATGCTGAGGACACCTGTGACTGTGATTAAAAATTGGGTTATTGAAAAGTATAGATTTTACTCCTGCCTACATGAATCAGCTCAAGGGATAAGGGTGGAAGTCAAGATGGGGGCTGTCTGACGTCGAAGCAAGTCCAAGAACCCAGAGGTAAGAGATCAAGGCTCTAAAGGCAAGCCCAAACCATATCTTAAAAGTGACAGGCATGATGGGTAACAAGCATACCAAGTGCATTTCTCATCCAGCGGAAGCCTGTGGTCCAGGACGATCGGTGGTGATGCGGCCGTGAGAGCACAGCCGGGAGAAGGGAAAGGGGTCCCGCTGGCCGTCTCACCAGGCACGATCAAGTCATCAGAATGAGTCGGTCACCTGTCTCCAATCAGAAACTGACCAACCTAATCAGCATTTTCAGTCTGCCATCCGTTTGCCTGGAGTCCTATAGACCTCGTACGGCAGAAAATAAAATAGTGCTTTGTGCTTGTCTCCTCCAGTTACGGAGGACTGACCACGGCAACTGCAAAAGCTGAGAGCTTTTTCATCACCCAACACATTTGCAAAATTCATTGGCTTTAACAAATCGCTCCCCAAACAGCTGGCCTGTGCGTTCTCCTCTAACCGGCTTGTGCTACATCACATTCAGAAAGTGCTTATAAGCTTGCACTTGCCCTGAGAAATATCCATCAGCTGTGAGAAAAGCTAAAACCCATCTTGGCTCTGGTGAAACGTTCCCTTCAGGGAAACACACAAGCCGATTTGGTCAGACGTAATAAGTTTTAACAAAATCCAGGTGAGGAAATCTATCTGGAAAAAGCAGAAGAATCTTACAAGCAGCTCCAAGAAATGATTCTCTCAGGAGAGGGGGAGAAAAAAAAAAAGATGTGAAAGCATTTATACCATGGTCGAAGGCAACCTGAAATCAGGTTTCACAAATGGGGACTTGCGTGTAACCCTGGTCCAGCACAGCGGTTTCCAAATGTCTGGAGATTGTGTGGCCTTCTTGCACTTTTCCTTCATGGCTGGAAACTCTCAGACTTTGTCCTACAGGTAATCGAGTTTAAAACCCATCAAATCTGAGCCCTCCCCAAAGACCGCAAACATCATAGAACCTACTTTAAAAATACCTAGTCTGCATTATTCTGACTGCGAGACACGAGGGACCCTATCCCTCAAGTTTAAGAGAAAGTGTTTCTCATTTTGGCAGGATCAGTTCTATTTGATGTGCAGAGGTGCGAGGCTGCGTCTGCAACTCAGGAGAGCTCCATTTAACATGTGTGAGTACTCAGTGACATGTAGGCATGTTTTTTATAGAGCCCCTGTTCCCAAATTGGCTTTAGGTTTGAAACCTTAAGCTTCAGTACGACAAAGGATCTTTGCTAAGAGGAATCACCTTCCTGAGTCTCCCAGAGGCAAGAACTGGAAAGGGGGTGGTGGTTCCCACTGTGGGAGCACCCAAAGGACTGAACCAACAAAGCTGCTGGGCTCCTGCTCACCCACCCAGCTAGCTCTGCGCATTCCTCCCGCCACCCCAAAAGACCTCTGCCCGAACATGCAACAGAGTAGACACGTATGTGACTCTGGGAAGGCACACAGTTGCTGGTGTTTAGGGCCCACTGCATGAGCTGAAGGCACGTATTAACTCCTTAAAGTGAAATTCTGTTAGTTCAGGGCTAAAATCCAACCCAATTAGGAAATGGTTCTTGAATAAGGATAAGCTAAAGGCTGTGGCTTTAAAGAATCTAAAGATGTTCTATTAAAAGCTTACCACCCAACAGCTGTGAAAATAAACCAGCGTTCCTGGATGGGCTTCCTCCGCGTGCAGGACCACCCAGAACCTGCCAGGGCGGACCACCGCTCATCACAGATGCGTCAGTCAGCATCCAGAGACAGATCCGCACGGGGAACTCGTTGCTCACACCCCCTCCACAACGGAGTGAGCAAATGTGACTTCAACCTTCTGGACAAGTGATTTAGGTACAGAAACAGTAAAGGGGTGGGTAAGTAGATTTTTCATTAGGTATGTGTGCATAATCTCTCAGCCAGAAGGCCCTATATCCCCCAAACAGAAATAACAAACCTGAATCGAAGTTTGACACATCTTTTTATGTACAAATGGTCAATGATACAGATGGCGTCACTTTTTATAAATATCTGCAGCAAATCCCCTCAAAAAGCTGTGAGTAAAAACTATCTCGCTACACAAAGGGCCTGTCCATCCCCAAAAGTGTCAACTGCAGGAGAGCCTATTCTTAGCCACACACACTTGTGGGGCCTCCAGGGAAGGGCAGGAGCGCCTGGGGACCGAGCGAGAGCCTTCCCATCTCCCTGGAGAGCTGAGGTGACTTGAAGGTCATCTGTTGCCCAAGACCTGGGAGGGATCAAACTCTTTCTTCCCAAAGCTTCGGTCTTCTTTGTCAGGCTGCTGATTAAGCCGTCTCTCTGTTTCCTGGCAGCAGCCCAGAGGGAGGGAGGAAAGGAAACTACAATAGGGTGAGGAAGTAAAAAACTCTGGGTATTTTGATTAAAAGAAAAAAAAAACTTGGTAATCAATGTAACCCTGTGAAACCAGATTCACCAGAGGGAAAATGTGATTTAGCATTCTGGAATCTACAGACAAGCATTTTTTTAAAAGAAAGATAATTACTTAGCACCAATCTCTCTCTCTCTGGTAATTTTCCCTTTTCCTTCGGGCCCCTGGCTGTGATCAACGCGGTCGGAGCCCGCTCAGCAGTGCTGCAATCAGTGACACAGCGGGGCAGGAGGGGGCGCGGCCACACCCGCAGAACCAACAGCGCTCTCGCAGGAAGCACCGCTTCTGGGGCCACCTCAACTCAGGCGACACAAGCGGACCCACGGACTCCTCCTGGGCTTGCCATGTAGCTCTCTAAGCCCAGGGGGCTTCACTCAAAACGACGCAGGTGGTTGTACAGCGACTGGACGTAAGTGAAGACACACATGGGGTCCGGCTTGCGGCCCATCACCATCATGTCCTCCACCTCGATGAGGCGCTCGCAGTTAGCCAGGTTCCTGAAACACAGAAGCCCCATCAGAATGACGGTCCGCGCAGCCAGCCAGCCCGGCGCCCATCCTCACCGCCCCGAGGAGAGAACTCTGCCTGGAGCTGGAGGCTCCCAAGTGCGGCCCATCAGAGAACTCAGGTCGCCCCAGCAGAACCTCTGGAGTCAGGGAGTCTGACCCCGAGTTTCCCAAACCCCGCACTCAGGAAGCACCGATGCAACTCATTTCGACCTAAGCAGACTTACATTAATGTTCAGACAAATTAAGTTTCACATTGAAATACCACTAAATTAAATTGCACTATAAACACAAACGTTATTAATTTAGCCTAATTGTATCAAACACTTAAATTTTACTAAAAATTTCAACTTATATCAGCAGTATATGGAAAATCAACTTATATCAGCAGTATATGGAAAATCAGCATAAACTACAAAAACATATGGTTAGTCCTTATTTAACATCATGGACAGGTTCTGCGATGTCAGCAAAGGGATGTATAATGAAACCAACTTGACTGCAGGCTAACTGACACAAACAAGAGTTCAGTCCCTACAGCTTCTCATCAGTGTTACAACAACATGACATTGAATGAAATTTTATTGAAGGATTTGCTGTAAAAAGAAATTCACCCACATGCCTCCTAAAACTGTTTCTAAACTTTTTACCATGACCCATGGTTAGATTTTTCACTGCAAGTCAGCACACGTACACACACATGGAAATTAAGTTTCATAAAAATACCCTTTCTACTACCAATACTTTATTTCTAATATTTCATCTCTATTTCTCCCCCCCCTTTATTTTTAATGCTGGTATGAGCCACTAAATTGAGTTTACTATGTATTGATGGGTTACAACTCGAAGTTTAAAACATTGCCAAATTACTATGGCTTTACAGTATAGTTTATCAGCTCTCATGATTCCTCCAACTTTGTTCTTTGTCAAGATCACTGTGGCTATTTGGGGTCTTTGATTCCACATACATTTCTGGAATATTTGTCCTAGTTCTGTGAAATACACTATTGGTATCTTGATAGGAATTGCCTTGAATCTATAGGTTGCTTTGGGTAGTACAAGTATTTTAATGATGTTTGTTCTTCCTATCCATGAACATGGTACATGCTTCCACTTTTATCTCCAATTTCTTTCTTCAGTGTCTTATAATTTTCAAAATACAGGTCTTTTATATCCTTGGTTAAATTTATTCCTAGGTATTTTTTATGGAATTGTAAATGGGATTGTTTTCCTTAGTTTCCCTTTCTGATAGTTCATTATTGATGTATAAAAATGCCACCGGTGCCCTGACCAGTGTGGTTCAGTTGACTGGAGTGCTGTCTCATGAACCAGAAGGTCGTGGGTCTGATTCCCAGTCAGGGCACATGCCTAGGTTGCAGATTTGATCTCTGGTCGGGGTGCATATGAGAGGCAGCCAATCGATGCTTCTCTTCCTCTCTCTCCCCCTCTGTCTAAAAATTAATAAGCATGTCCTCAGGTGAGCATTAAAAAAAATGCAACTGATTTCTGGATATTTATTTTGTATCCTGCTACTTTACTGAATTTATTTATCAGTTCTAGTAGTTTTTTTTGGTGGAAACTTCAGAGTTCTCTATACACAGCTCATGTCATCTGCAAATAATGACAGTTTTACTACTTCCTTTCCTATTTGGATGCCTTTTATTTCTTCTTGTCTGAGTGCTGTGGCTAGGACTCCCAGTTCTGTGTTGAATGAGAGTGTGGAAAGCGGACATCCCCCTCTTGTTCCTGATCTTAAGGGAAACACTTTTAGTTTTTGCTTGTTGAATATGATGTTGGCCGTGGGTTTGTTATATATGGCCTTTACTGTGTTGAGGTATATTCCCTGTATTCCCACTTTGCTGAGAGTTTTTATCATAAATGGGTGCTGGATTTTAAGCTTACCCTTTGTGACAGCATGAATGGACCTGGAGAGTATTAAGCTAAGTGAAAAGAGCTGGTCAGAGAAAGACAGGTACCATATGATTTCACTTATTTGTAGGATCTAATGGACAGAATAAACTAACAAAGTGGAGACAGACTTGGACACAGAGAACAGAATGACAGGTCTCAGAGGGGAGTCGGGGGGCTAGGAAAAAAAAAATGAAGGGATTAAACAAAGTAAAAAAGACTCATGAACACAGACAACAATGTGGTGATTGCCACAGGGAAGGAGGGGGAGCGGCGGAGGTGGAAGAGAGTAAAGGCGGGTAAATGGTGACAGAAGGAGACCTGACGTGGGGTGGTGAACACACGATACAACATACAGATGATGTGTTATAGAACTGTATACATGAAACCTGTATAGTTTTATTAACCAATGTCACCCCAATCAATTTAATTTAAAATTAATTAATAATTTTAAGGAACATTGCCTGCAATCATGTTGTCCCTCTCCCCGCCCCGGGCCCAGTGCCTCTTGCCATGGGAACCACTGGTGTAACTTCTGGCCCTCAGGTGCCCGTGCATGTGGAGCCGGGGCCACTCACTGGGCTGTAAAGAAAGCTGTTCCCACTGCCGTCTCAGCTCGGAGGCAGCTGAAGGTCCTGGCTTCATGGAGGCAGGATGATGAGTATCCACAGTTAAGGGACATCACAATGCTTCTCAGCACTGAGTCTTGCAGTAATAGCCGAAGTCCCCTGGAATGCCGAGCTACACTCCCCCAGGGCACTGGTGTGGCTGACCTGGCATTATCTCGCTGAACCAGAAAGGCAAAAACACTTGCACTCGGTCCAGTCATCAGTGTCCTTCCTTCAATAGTTGTGTGCACCTTTGTAGTCTCAGGGGTCCCCAGTCTTTTCACCCCGTGTTACTAAGTGCATGACTGGTAGGGTTCCTGTCCCACCTCCATCCTTACTAGCTCCGTGACTTTGGGCGGGAGACTCGGCATCTCCGGGCCCCGGTTACCCTGTCTGGAATAGTAACCACCCATGCACACAAGATGGAAAGGTGCCTGGTACATGGAAAGAGCTCAATAACCGTTAGAGATGACTGTTGCTGTTTCTATTGTCATGCCCGAATTTGAAATCTAGGTAGCCGAGTCCAGATCCTGGCTCTACCAGTGGCTTCACCTTTCTGTGCCATTTTCTTGGCAGAAAGTTAGGCTCCTACTTCCAGAGGGCTCCCCATCTGCTCTTCTTTGGGAGGTGGTGTGTCTTCATGTGCCTTGTACCCCAGAGCCCATGAACCAGTCCACATGGTTTGTGTAGCACCTTCTCCCAGTCCCCACCGAAGCCTGGGCTCGCGTGCTCCAAAGACAAGGACCGTGACATTAGCACAGGGCCCAACTGGCCTAATGCCAGGCCTCCTATCAGAAACTAAATGTCAAGGCGAAATGGAGACATCTGTCCCAGATCCCATTGCTGCCTCCCCCTCAGTCTGCAGCGGGCGGCCTGTAAGAGAATCCAGCAGCTTTGTGGGGTGGCGTGTGCTCTGGCCCAATGAGCAGGCACCCTTGCTCCCCAGGTCGGGCCAGAGCAGGGCTCAGTGTCAGGAAAGTCGGCGCTCTGACAAGGGCAGGCATGCAAAGGTGCTTTGTCAACGGTCAAGGTCTGAAAATCCAAGTTCTTCTGAGAGTCCTCTGGGGACCTGAGTTAACCTTCCTGAGCTATCACTTAGCCTCTGGTGCCCTCCTCCTCACCTGCAGCTCAGGGAGAGCACCTCCCCTCCCCACCCAGGGCTGCTGTCAGAGGGTCTCAGGAGTGTGTGAGCAGGCTCTGCACCTGTGCCAGGTACCAGCCCAGACAGCATGACCTCGGCAGTCCCCCCATCAAATGTGGCAGCGTCAGTACCCTGAACCCAGCCTTGGGAGAGAACTGAAGTACCATCCTCCGAACAGCCCCACTGGAAGCACCAACCGTCTCCGGGAAGGCCCTGCCCTAGCTTGCTCACCTCCGGGTCTAGGGCTGGGGCCTCATTTCCTTCAAGGACAGTTCGAATTCCTCTGCAGGTGGCACTGGCCATGAGAAAGTTTTCCCTAAATTTCTCATACTCTTCACACTTCACACTTATGGGTCTCACAAGGCTATTTTCAGGTTAATTCCACGCTCCCCACCCCGCCCCCGCCACACACACATACACACAAAGTCCCGTTGGAAGAGAATCTTCATATCCATGTCTTTTCCTGAAACTAAATATTCTGGTTCCTTCACTGTCCCCAAAGGGTGCCTGGGACCCCGTCCGCTGAGCCAGTTCTAATTTCCTTCCTATCCCCCTCAAGGGATGAACCTAGAATTGCTGGCACATCCCAGGTGCTGTCCAGCCTGTGCAGGGAGAGCGAGCTGACCCTCTTCTTTATTCTAGGGGTCGTGCTGACTCTCAGAATGACAGCCCTGCCCAGCCAGCGAGTCTTCGAGATCCGAGTGGCGGTCGGCACTGGTGCCCAGGCCTCCCCCTGGTGTCACCCTGGCGTCACCCTCTCCTGCCCAGGTAGAAGCAGGGGGCAGGGTGCTGGCTTCCCCAGCACACGGCCAGGGGACTGGGCCACATCTGCCCAGTCCGTACCCCGGCTGACCCACCCCAACAGTAACAACAAGATGGCCAGAAGCTGTGAACACAGCTTACAAGACAGAATATAAGAAAAGAAAAATGATGATCAGCAACTTTTACAAAAAATATTTAAGTCTCAAATATAAGAGACCCCAATTGCCTTTTAAATTTAAAAAAAAAAGCCTGCTTTTGTATAAATGGTACAAGCTTGTTTAAAGTAATTCAAACAACATGGACTAGTCCAAAGGAGAAACTACAAATCACTTCAAATGTCACCTCGTAGCAAGAACAAGAGTTAACATCTGTGTACTGGCCATTTTAAATGAGTTTACTTAGCCCCACCTTGTTCAGGGTTAAAAGGGGTTCAGGGGGTTTTCTCCTACTCCAGTCTACTGTGATCTTTAGCTACCACAGGGCGGGCCTGTAAGGGGGATGGGGTGGGGGGAAGGGTTATTTTTATTTATTTAAGCCTTCTCTAAGACCAGGATGCCAGGGCCCAGACTGCAGCCTCCGATCTGGTTTTAGGAAGAGACACATGGACACTACAAATAGCCTGCCAGCCCCTTCTGCTCAGCGTAACCCGAGAGCAGGGCACATTCCCCGCAGGGCAAGTGGGCGCTTCAGGCCGCACGTCTGGCTCCACGGGAGATGTGGGGAACGAGGTGCAGAGGGTCACGTACCCGTAAAAGGGGCTGTTCCTCCAGCTTTCCAAGTCCTGAACACCTGTCCCCCTAAAGGAGCTCATTTTGCTGTCAGCACCACATCCGCTCACACAGATTAGGCCACAGGGAATCTTTGGGACCGTAAATTATTGGGGGAGGGGGAGCACAAGCCACTTTTGCTCTGCAGGTTTCTGCTGCATCTCTGCACGTTTAAGGCCCTTACTCAAGGAAGGATCTGAAGACTTTTCCTTCCTGTGTACGGTGGACCCAGTGTTTGGAGGCCCAGTCCGTGTCCCCTTTTCCTTTTGTGAGCGCCCAGGCTCCTCCCCTCCCACACTGCCTGTTCCCAAATCACATTTCTTAGCTCCAGCCTGCCACCTGCATGGCTCTTGACGGCTTCCAAGTGCCCCGCGTGTCTGCTTGGCTCTGGCTGGCACACCAAAGGGACATCAGAGAAGGCACTGGTTGACAGAATCCTGAAGCAGGTGTCCCCATGCTTCCTCCCAGCTTTTCTAACCAGCCTGTTGCCTCAGTAACTGGGGACCCAAACTGCTGCCCTCCCGAGAAGCCTCGGACAGACAGGTCCACCTTCCCAGCCCTGTCCACTTAGTACCTCTGAGATAATCTCCCGGGTGACTCATGAAAGAAGGCACCTCCCAGACTCTGAGCAAGTCCTGGCCCCCTCGAGTCAGCAGAAAAACAAGAACTCATGCCAGGGGCCTAGTGGACCATCCACCCCTCACCCCAGCTGGGAGCAGACCCAGGCCACAGGAGGCAGGGCCAAGCTTTTCAGACCCACTGTTAGCTCTGGGGGGGGGGGGGGGTGAACCCTGGAGCAGTGCCCACCACCGCTCTCCCCGGCTGGGAACAGAAGAAACATCTGTTTGGAGTCTGGAGGCTCTGCAAGCACAAAAATGATGCTGGGAAAGCACAGCCACAAGTTGCTCTGGCTTTGGCTGCCAAGGGAAGCTGTGTTCCCTACGAGCTGAAGTGCAGGCCACCACCCGTGGCCCAGGGCCTCCCTCTCCTAGCCACGGGTCCAGGGCTGAGGTTAGCTATGGCAGCCAGGGCTTGAGCTGGCACCGCCTGGACCACTGGACTTGATGGAGAACTCTGAAAGCCAAGTATGACCTCGCCCACCGGGGTGGGTCTTGGGGTGCCCATGGCAGACCCTGATTCTGGACTGTCCCGTTTCTAGGCTTCAGAAAGCTGGGCCTCATCCTGGGGAAGTACTCCTCCCCAGCATCGTGCACTTGGCTCTACTTCACCATTGTCTGGATCCAGTTGCATAACACGCTCCATCCAAAGCTGTTTCTGCAATTAGGATGACAGCTAATCCCAAGCAGCCAAGAAAGAGAAGGCTTTTAAAGTATACAAGCAGTTCTTATGACCCCAAGAGGGCCGAGAGTCCAAGCGCGTCATCCGAGACAACACAACAGGGGCAATGCTCATGTTCCAACCACTCAGCCAGGGAGCAGCCGGCAGCCAGGTCTCCATTCTGTCCCCAGGGCGTGGGCTGCTGCTCGGAGGGGCGGCTGCCTTGGCTCCAGGTGAGCCCTTCAGGACCAAGTGCGGGTCTCCTCACCTGCTGGCTCAGACTCCTTCCCTGGCCAGGCTTTGGTGGGTGTGGGGGATGGGAGGTGGGGCAGGGAATGGAGTGAGGAGGCCAGGCAAGGCCCAGGAGCAGGCTCCTCCCGCTCAGTGAGCACAGCAGAGCGCCCCCCCCCCCCGCCCCCGCTAGACACAGGCACTGGGCATACAGACTGCGGACAAAGGTCAGTCACAGAGGCTTGAGTCACAGGCACACAGGTGGGTGGGTGTGCAGGAGGGAATGAGAAATGTGTCCTCCAGGAAATACTGCTTTGGAGACGCCTTCCTTCCCTCTGGCCTTCCTCCCCTTAACTCTACAAGACTCAGCATCAGGCAGCCCTGACCACCCTCATCAGTTCCCAATGCCGCACTGGGCTCGAATGGACCACAGCGATGGCCCCCTGCCCTCTGCCTCCTGCCTGTGTCCACCCAACAAGAGGCCCTGGCGTGGAGGCAGTAGGAGGGTGAGGACAGTGTATTGAGCATGCCCCTGCTCCCTCCCTGCCAGGTCACTATGAGCTGGTCACTCCCACTGCCCAAAAGCACAGCTCCTACCAGCCAGCCCCCTGAACACAGCTATGCTCCCGGTTTCCTGTGGCTCCGGGCTTATTGGCCCGAGGACACCGCATTGCACCTGGCTCCTTCCCTCACTCCTGCCGCACCTTTGTGAGGAGCCCCTCACTGACTTAGGATGGATGCACCTCCGATTCACCATGGCCCTGATGCTCTGGGGGTTGCACTCAGACAGTAACCAAGTCCCCAACTGACTTCCCATGCGCCTCCCAATCCCAGAATTGCCCGCACCCCATCTTCTCCCAATAAGCGGGGCTTAAGAAGGTAGGCAGTTTCATATGGAACACTAGAACAATGTTTAGAGAAGCAAAAGTCCACTCATTGGAGATGTTTTTAAACTGGCAGATGTTATTTTGTTTCTGGCTGATCAGCAGCTGTGGCTCACCCAGGCACCTGCATCTTCCACCAGCCCCGGGAGGATGGACTCCATGCTCTGAGGGACCTCATCCCACTGCCCACCAAGCCCTGTCTGTGGCTGGTCTCCCAGACCACCCCGAGAGGCCAGCCACCCGCAGGTGCACCCATAGGAGAGCCTGGCTCTACCACCAGGCTCTGCAGTTTCCCCACCTACACAGGACACAGACCGGCTGGAGGGCCTCGGGGCCTCAGGGCCTCAGGCCTGTGGACAGCTTCCCCGTACTCTGCCCACCCCGGGCTTGGGGACTGGGCCGGGGCTGGTAGCCCATGGGACTGCCATGTACTCACTCAGCCATGGTGAATGCCAGCTCGAAGTTCTTCTGCCGCTGCGTGGGGCTCAGGGCACTATAGTCGAAGGCATCGGGGAAGAACGAGTGCACCAGGGCGCAGAAGGCCATCCCGTCACTCCAGCTGGAGGAGAAGTTCTGCAGGTCCACGTGCTGCACGCAAGGCGAGGTCCATGCAGGCGGGTGAGGGGGGTATGGCCCCACCTCACTGCCCTACCCAACTCAGCCCCACAGGCAGATTCTCCCAGCCCCTCCCCAAGGTCCATCATCCACCCAGTGCAGCCACAGCTGTGGGCACCAGACTTCACCCCATAATGGGCACCACACCAGTCTGCACAGGTCCAGGTACAGGACGCCTGGGTTTGCTGGGGGCTCACGGGGGAGGCACAATTTCTCTGGCTCCTACCTTCCACCCCCACCTGTGGTTCTTGCTCTGGCCAGGGGACCAAAAGCAGGGGGTGCTGCTTAGTACAGCCGCTGGCCAACATCCCCAGGGCCAGGGTGGGACCCTGGCTCACCTGGTAGCCAAGAGTCTTGTTGCGACACCACTCGAGCAGGATCTGCTTGATGCTGCTGGCGCTGGCCACCCCGAAGCTCTGGGACCGCTTCAGCTTGGCCCGGGCCTCGCCTTTCCCCCTGTGGAGAGAGCGCAGCCTGCCGTGGGGGACATCCCTCAGCTGCCATCCCCTCTGAGAGGCGGGGGAGTCCCCAGCCATTCCCACACCGCCGGGAAGTGACCCTACCTGCTGTGCTCCCCCAGGGGCCATGCTGTCAGTACACAGCCTCCCTCACCCCCCACAGCCACGGCCAGGTGTGAGCCCCCCCACCTACCAGCCACACAGCCGCCCTGGACGGTATCCAGCAGGACCACCCCCCTTCCAGCCTCTAAGTGCCCCTGAGAACCCCCTAATGCCTATCACACCCCTCCTCCTGAGCCTCCCTCCTAAGGCCATCTGTGTGCTAATGGCTCTTTCCCAGCCTAGAAAGGCTAGCCCAGAGGTTTCCTCCTCTGGGCCCCAAGGACATGCCCTAACAGCCAAGGTGAGGTTGTCTGGGCCATTGGGGACACTCCATCTCCCTCACTGGGGTTGTAGCCTTCGGAACCAGCTCGGGGACCTTCATCACCACCCGCTGGGCTGCACCCCGCACGCAGCAGGAGGCACTGCTGGGCACGGACGGCAGGGCCGGACAAACGTGCAAGGGCGAGCCCTGTGTCTGGCAGGTGGCTCCAGGCCTGATGGAGGACCGAGGGGCACCTGGGTCCTGTGTGCCCCTTCCCCGCTCCTGTAGGAACCCCAATTGCCTGCCTTCCTGCCTTCCGGTCACTCCCAGGAGCCAAAGAGGCTACAACTCACGAGGAACTTGGGTGTGAGGGTAGCCCATGAACCCCCTCTGGGAACCGGGGAGAGAGGAGGGCTCTCATCCGGCCTAGCCTGGCTCCCTGCCCCACAGCCCACCCTGTGGCCCAGCCCTGACCTTGTGTTTTGCCCAAGAGTTCAGCCCTTAGAAAGCCCCCCTTGTGCTGTGTCTGCCGGACCCCAGTCTGGGTCTGGGCCTATCTGGGAGCCCGGCCTGGCCTGGGGCTGGTGTCCATACTTGCCCACCGTATCCTGCTCCCACTTCTCAAACAAAGCCTTCCGGGCCTGCGCACTGGACGTTCGGGGCAGCGTCTGCGACCTCACCAGCTCCCGGCGGCTCTCCCCCTGCCGATGGGTCTGAGTGGTGGCTGGCAGCTTTGGGGAGGGGGGCGACTGGGGTGGAGTCACCAGAGGTGGGCTGAGGAGAGAACCACCGAGTCAGGAACACAGGTCCAGCTGTCACTAGGTCACTCGGGCTCCTCCTCCCCACTGAGTGTTAAATGAGGCAGAAATTGGGGGCGGGGGCCAGCCTGGTGGCAGGTACAAAGGAGAATGCACCACTTGCTCCAGGCTCTCACCAGGCTCTGACCGGTTGGGCAGGTTTTCTGAACTGGCCAGCCCAGCCTCCTGGACTCAGGGAGAATGGGCCCCTCACCAGGTGAAGGTGTCAGTGGGAGGCAGGCAGGGGCATCCTCTCAGGCAGCAGGTGTGCCCAGAGCCAGTCCCACCAGAACCAGACGCCCCTCCTCCGCCTCCGTAGATAAGACCCCCTTTGTTTCTGCCTCCCTTCAATAGCTGGCCAGAAAGTCACAATTATTTTATTATTAAAAAGAAAAAAAGAAGAAAGCAAGCCAAGCCAGTCCCCCACCCCCATCTCCAATCACAGCCCAGCTGGCCTGGGGGGACACGGGGACACCCAGAGACCAGGAAGAGGCCCGTGGCACTGGGCAGCCCCTGCGGGCCCACCCCGGTCTGCGGCCTCTCCAGGTACCATCTCGGTCCCCGGGCAGGAGGCCGCCCGGCTCAGAGGGACCCTAGCCAGGGTGGATCGATAAAGAGGAGAGTGGGGGACTGAGACACCCCTCCCGTCTTTTGACAGACTTGCTTTGAAAGGTCCACCCAGAAACCAGCCTGCAGCCACACTGCTCCAAACAAAACTGTCCACCAAGCCCCACCGCCCTCGTACCTGCTCCAGGCCCACCCAGCACCCCTGCTGTCTCGGTGCTCTGGAGGCGACCGGCCAGGGCACGTGCCTCCTCATGCAGTGGGCGCAAGGAGCTCCCTGCAGGTGGCTGGGGCACCCTGGGTCCGGGGCAAAGCCCAGATGATCCCCAGGGAGTGATGACCCCCCAACCAGGAGCATGGCTGGACTCACCTGTCATTGCTCCTGCCTGCTGTTACTGCCCCATAGCCAGAGCCCAACAAAGGCCGTGGGAAAGAAGAATTCTTCTCTGCGGGACAAAGGGAGGGACAGAAATAACCAACCCTGGTCTCCAGGAGGGCCAGCCCCTGCCTGTCTCCCTCATCTGCCTGGCCCTGCTCTGTCTACCCAGCACCACTCCACACACAGGGAGGACCTCTGGGCCCAGCCCACCCCACCCCGACCAACAGCTGAGGGGAATGGAGGCCGGGAACTCAGAGCAATGACCTGAAAGGGCTTTCGAAGGGTACCCACCTGCTCGGGAGAGCACAAGGCCCGGGGCCTCCTGCGCTGTGCATCCAGCTAACACCCTGTTCCCGAACACTCATTTTCGAGGCCCATGCCACCCCAGCCTGGTCTACCACTGAAGCCTGACCACAGGCCCAAGTCAGGCCTGGCGGGGGTGGGGGTACTACGCCAAAATGTGCAGGGCAAAAGGCCACCTTCTAACTTTTAACCACAGCCTCAGCCTATAATCAAGGCCATAGTTGTCCCCTGCAAAGGACGATGCTATTTCATGGCCTCTCTGGGAGACGAGTCTGGCAAGGATGGGCCCCACGGGAGGGTGCAGACAGGCTAGAGAAGGGAGTCGCTGTGACAGGCAGGGGAGCTGGGGCCTGGCCCCAGATTTTCTGAGTCTCCAGCTGACCGCTCCCTGCCCAGCCCCTGCGCGCCCTCCCAGGCCAGAGTTGGGGTCTGTCCCCAAGCCCCTGCACCTACCACTGAGACTGGGAGTCCAGGGTTTGGTGGCTTCACTGGGGCTTGAGTTGAGGCCCCCCAGGATGGTGGCAGATGTGGGTGAGAGAGCCGTGGCTGAGGTCTCCCCAGCAAACCTCTCAGAGACCCGTGTGACAGCCATGACTGGCTGGTGGGGTGGCCCCAAGGAGAGGCTCCTGGGGCGAAGCTTGGGGACCTCTGGTGCTGGGAGGGTCTGGGCAGCCTCAGGGGTTCCGTCACCTGGACCTGGAACATGTGACAAGAGGGGGGACAGCAGGTGTCAGTTATGGCATCCACAGGGGCCTCAGGCGCCCCAGGAGGGCTCCAGCCACCCTGAACCCCCCTCTCACCTCTTCCAAGAAGGCCTCCCTGACCATTCTAGCATCCCTGAGCTCCCCCAAATGGGGACTTCCCACCACTCCAACCAGAGCTGACATCTCCTCCAACTTCCCCTCACAGCCAGGCTGGTGAGCACCCTCTGCCATCAGCCCACCCTCTGCCCCACTCAGGCTGGGACAGCTCCTCAGACAGGTCCTGCTTACATTCCTCCAAAAACAGGCAGCTTGCTGCCTTCCAAGATCTCCCACTTCTCCCTGTGCTGAAAAAGCCTGCTCTACCTCAAATGCAGCTGCTCTCCTGGCAACCTCTCCAGGGCTATGGTTTAGGCTCAAGTCCCCCCACCCAGCCAAGGGATGGCCGGGCACAGGCACACAGCTGCCAAGACCCCTGAAGCTACCCCTCAACCCCCTACCTGCCCCTGGCTGGTGCCCGTTCTCAACAATGCACGAGTTTGAGGTCCTCCTCATCTCCGACTCGCTGGCTTCATCCAGAAGATCCACACTCTATGGAGACACAAACACCGCAAAGGCCCAGTCAGCCAGGGTCGGCTACCCACCTCCCGAGTCAACCCCAAAAGCCCCTCCTGATTCTGGCAGGACAAACATCATCCACCGGTGAGAGAGCTGGCCCCGAGGACACACTGTGACAGGCCAAAGCTGCACAGCCAGCTGGGACGGACCCAGCCCCAGCTATTGAGCCCCTGGGGTCCTAGAAGGCCAATGCTTCACTGGGCGCATCTCAGAACCCAACAATGCCAGGCAGGAAGGTCAAGATGGAGGGTGCCGAAGGGGTGTGTGCGGTGGTCGCACCCCTACCCCAGGCTGGACCAGGTGACTGGGAAAGGGAGAGCCTGGCTCTGGCTCATCCCAGCTGGGCAGGCTGGCGTGGCGGCCTGTGTGGGAGCAGCTGACACCCAGAGACGTACATAAGCTTGCTCTGGGCCAGTGATGGTACCAAGGCCCTCCTACTGAGGCCTTCCCACTGGTCGCAGGGTTGCAGGGTTTGCCCAGACATCTGGAGCACAGGGCTCCCCCATCCACTCTATGCTGCAGAAGTGGAGGGGTGCAGAGAGAAAGCCAAGATCAAGAGCCATCGGGGAGCCTGGCATCCTGGCGGTGCCGCCAACCACCAGGTGGCCTGGGTTAGGTCATGCCCCCTCCCAGTCTCAGTTTCTTTGTTTGAAATATGGGAGTAGGCTACGCAAGTGCCATCTGAGCATCTACCAAGTGTCAGTCCTGTTTTCTGGGCAGGCCACTTATACCAGCTTGCTCTTCTGCCCTCCCACGTAGGTGCTACCGGCCCCATTTTACAGAGGGGACTCGAGGGCTGAGAGAGGGAATGTACACAGTGCAAGGCTACAGCCAAGATTTGTAGCCAGGGAGGACATTCTTCTCCTCAACTGTGATCCTGCTCCTCTCGCAGTGAGGGAAGGTGGATGCTCAGAGTGTCTGTAAGGCCGCCGGGGTCTGCTGGCAAGAGGGGAACCAAGGCAGACCCCTCCCAGGGGTTCTACTAACAACCCATAATGGATGGCTTGAGAGAGGTAGGCTGTATCTCTCCCTAGATGCCCCCAAGCTGGTCCCCTTGTTTATAAGATTCCCAGGTGGCCAAAGCCCATCCCTGGGCCCCAAAGGCTCAGCTACTTCTGCAACCTGTGCGACAGGTGGCAAGCCTAGCATGGAGGAGTCAGGGCAGTGGGGGAGCCCGGGCCATGAGCGGAGCAGCCGCGCCAAGGCAGCATGAGAGTGTGTGCCTCAGACAGACTTCCTCCAGCCCAGCAGGCCAAGGAGGGCTTCCCAGAGACAGGGGTGCCCGAGCCATGTCTAAAGTGAGCCAGGTGGAGGCCATTCCCAGCAAAGTGACTAGTGTCTGTAAAAGCAGATGGACATCAGGGCACAAAGCATTCTGATCCAGTGACAACAGAAGTATCACGCAGCCCAAAACACCAGCCCCAAGAACTTGGACTTGATTCCTTGAACAAGAAGGAGCTCAAGGTCATCACCTTTGTGTTTTTAGGAATATCCTTTAGAAGCCAGGACGAAAGTAGCACGGAAGAGGGAAACCAGATGGCCAGCCACCTTATTAACCTCAGGTGAGGAGGGGAGATGGGGCAGTGGGAGAGCAAAGGGCAAGAAGGACTCAGAGCTCTAGGGAGTGAGTGGATGTGGAGGGAGGAGAGGACGCCACTGCTCCCCCCAGCCTGGGCTTCGGGCCTGAGTGACTGCCTAGGAAGGGTAGGGGTGCTGGTGGGGAAACAAGAACTTCAGCTTGGGACCTGACGAAAGCAAGGTGGCCTGGGGCATCAGGGAACTGAGGTCAGGAAGTAGCTGGATATTTGAGCGAGAAGTTTAGGAGGGAGGACAGGCAAACGAAGAAGCAGGAGTCTCAAATCCAGAGTGCAGCAGAGGAAGAGGGCAGCATGGGGCTGACTGGGCCAGGGATGAGGCACCACATCTGTCCGAGGGGCGGGAGAGGCATCTGCAGATGAGAAGGAGAGGAGCCCTTGGGCAGGTGGGAAGGAAACCAGGAGAATGTTGAGAAAGGCAAGTGGAAGTGTAGCAAGAAGCCCGGTGTGTTGGCAGCAGCCAAAGGTGGCCTCAGGTCAAGGAAGAAAAGGCCAAGATAAGATCTAAAAAGCATCCATGAGTTTAACCAAAAACAGGTCACTGGCACTGTTCAGGAACTGAATAGAGGTGAGGTGGGGGGAGGGCACAGGAGACGGCCCAAAGTAGAGGGGGGAGGGGGACACCTTGTAGTAACTTCAGCCATGAGGGGAGAGGGACAAAGGAGTTTGAGGGGTTCTTTCAGAAGAAGGGATAGGACATTTATAGGCTAAGGGAAAGGCTCCAGCTGGCTGAGGGGCCCCTCTGTGGCTGGGGTCTCTGGGAGTGAGAAAAGACAGTACTCAGAGCCTGGCCCTGGAAAGGGTGTGACCCCTCAACTTCTGATTCTAGAGGACAGAGGGGGAGGGGCCAGGCCTACTCCAAGGAACAGTGGAGAAGGTGGGGTGCAACTCCTGGCAGCCCAGCATGGGGAGGGCACCCCTAGAGCCACAGCATTGCTAACCTGAAGCCAAGTCAGCAGGAGGTGGAAAAACGGTCCATCCTGAACCCCAGCCCCCACCTATCACCCAGTTTCACCCCACTCTGGGGTCTCTATGTCCCCCCACCCACCCTGCTCTGGTCCAACAGGTTCCACAGGTCCAGGCAGGGACCTGGAGGGACAGGCTGATGGCAAAACCATTTTCCCAGGAATGTGGGTCTCTATGGGGTGGGGGGACCCCCCCTAGACACCTGCCCTGCAAGTTGCAGGCCCATACCCCCCATGATGCCTCAGGGGACCACACACCACAACCAGACAGGAAGAAGGTTCTGGACCAGCCAGATTCCTGCCAAGGGGAAGGGCATAGGGCGAACTCATGCTGAGGGGACACCCTGTATTGGGTGGTAGCTGAGCCCAGACTCCCAGGTTCACCTGCACCTCGCTCCTCCATCTCTGTGACTGGAGCCACTCCTCACCCAAGGAGCCAAGGGTCTACTTGGAGACCAGCCTCCAACCCACCACCACACAAGCCCAGGGCAGAGAGGATCACCCCTAGCCTCACATAGAGACCACAGGCACTGGCAGAGTCAAGGTCTGGGACTCGGGTCTCCTACCTCACAAAGCACTCTGGTCTTGCAGAGGGCAGCGAGGACAACTCAAGACAAACTCACCTCCTAGGACCTAGGGCAGGCTGAGCCATCCTAGTCAGAGGAGGGTAAGGTGTGACTAGGGTATCCACCCTAGCAGGCCCTGAGCCTGTACCCAAGGGGCTGAGCTGGGCTGTAGCAGCACTTCTCCTCATCCCCAAGCCCACCCATGGAAGCCTCTGCTTGTTCTCCCAGGAGTCTTCCTTTGGTAGGGGCAGCCTGCCTCGGCTACAGGGGAAGGAGCCAGAGAGAGATCTCTGTGTGCCTGGTGGAAACCACTGGAGAGGCCTGGGGACAGGAACCGGTCCTGTTGACCTGGCTCCAGCACTCCCAAGCTCCCCTCCTGGGCTTTGTTTTCAGAAAGAGAGGCTCCCTCGCCTGTGGGAAGGTTAGGGGGACAGGCGGGGATGTGATAAGTCTGATTTCAGAGACCCTCCACAGAACTTCTCACTGGGGAAGTTCTTAACCACTTATAAGAGCAGGAACAGTATTTCAGGCACCCTCGGTACTGCCTGACCCCACGCAGGCTCACATGTGGACACGGGAGCCCGGGTGTATGCCCGGCATGGCCCACGTACTGCCAGAACCCCTATTCCAAGCCCGTTAACACGCCTGCCCTCCTCCTTGCTCACACCAGTTTTAAAGACTCAATTCAAACTTCTCTCCAAAGCATTTAACTCCCTTATCACAAGATGTGTCTGGGAAAGGAAGGCAGATAAGGCGAGTCTGGTTTCTTTCATGGTCAGGCCTGACACCTCGCTCCTGGCAGTAGTTCCTAAGGGACTTCACTGCCTTGGCCATGGGGGCCCAGTGGCTCCAGCTTAGCCGGGAGGACATTTCCAGGGGACAACTGTGGCCCGGTCTCCAGGGCTTGGCCTGGCCTCAGGCTGCTACCACCCACTGCGGCCCCCAGCTGGCTCCCTCCACCGGCCAGACCACAGCTGTGGCTCTGTGGACTCTTTTGTGAACAATTTGGGCTGATGTCACTGTTAAAACTATTTACCCCACTCAGCAGGAGAGGCCTAGTGGGCTGGGTCAATCCCCCTTGGTTTAGCAGAGAGGATTCTGAGGTCTAGCTGAGAGGAGATGACCCCAGAGCCTCACAGCAAATGTCCCCAAACCAGCTCTGTCCGCTCCAGGGACTCAGGACTCCCACAGGGAGTCCTCCCTGGTTACCCCCACCCAACTGCCCTGTCCTCTCCCTCCTCCCAGAGCCTCCCTGGCTGCTCTTCTGTCTGCTCACTACCTGGCTCCCGTCAGACCTGTCTAAGCCAGATGAGCAAGGTCCTTAGCAAGGTCAAGGTTTGTGTACTCAGAAGCTGATTACATGATCAACGCTTTCTGCACTGAGTTTGGGGCACATTTACATGCTGAGTAGGGCCCACCTCCAATCCTTGTGGTCTCCACTTTAAAGCAGCAGGGTACAAAAGGGTCTCCCAATCTCACTGCTTGTTACAGAAGGGCAGTGTAACACCAGCCTCCACAATGCCTGACCAGAGCCACCACTTAGAGTGTGCAAATGAGACCCTCACACCCAGAACCCCCATGCGATGTAGATGGCGGGGATGGGGGTTTATGAGAGGCCAGGAGAGCAGCAGCCCCTGCACCCAGCCTTGACCCTGTCCAGCTTTGTCCTGGAGCCCTGATTCCCTGTTTACAACCAAGCACCCAGCTACACACTGTTGGTCACCGCGCATGAGCGGGGACTTGTGGACGGCCCCACACAGCCCCCTTCACTGCCAGAAACTGGCTGGAAGCCTGTGTCAGGGCTCCTGAGAGGTGGGTTGCAAGGGAAGTGGGGACCAGTCTTGTAGTCAGATGGGGGGAAGTTGCCTCAGGCCCAGGAGCCTCTGACCCCACTAGAGACCCTGGTCATCCTCCACCCACACTTGCTGTTTGCCTCACCCCAGGCCTTTCTCAAGACCACAACCAACTCCCTGACCGTGTATCCGTCCTCTTCCCCCAGTCACTGCAGCATCGCTGCTGACCCCCAACTTCTCCCTGAGGGCTCTCCCCTCTTATTTCGAAAGGTGGGCTCTCTGAGGCCTTTTAGCTCTCTGGCAGCTCCCTGTGGGACAGACATGCAGGGGCTGCAGCCCCAGGGCTCCTGCCCACCGTCTCCTTCTGCACAACTGAAGACTTTACCCCCTCTACAGCTTCAACTCCCACTCTTCCCTGATATCTCCCTATGGCCTTGACCACTCTTCGTGCAACAGATCCGTGATTCCACCTGCTCTGGGGCAGCTTCACCCTGGGTACCCCACTCCCTCTCGCTCAGGATGCCCCAAACAAAGCTCCCACCAAATCTCCACCAGATCTGTGACCCAGCAGTCCACCCCCCCCCAGGGCCCCTCCCTCCACCTCCCTGCTCACACCCACAGACTCTCGCATCCTGCTGATTCTCCCTCCGAGATCCCGCTCCAAGGCAGCCCCAACTCTCCAACCACCCTCCAGCCACCCTCCAACCCACCATCCTCCTTGAGGGGGCTTGCCAGATACAAGGAGGACCCCATCCTTCCCCTGCCGGTGTCTCTCACCCACCACTTCCACCTGAGAGGACTAGCTCACCTCAGGTGATCATGGTCAACTCCCACTGAAAAAGTTGGATGACTGGAGGGAATCCTCCCACATATGTACATGTGTACATACATATACATGTATGGCTCTGGGGGTATTGTTGTTCAAACTTGGGCAGTTGCTCCCATGAGCAGACGAGTAGCAAATGCAGGGTACAATAAAACCTCAGGAGTGGCCCACGACACAGTTTATTAGGCACATGTGAGCTCACAGTGGTGACTTTATACCATGGACATGTAGTGTCACGCTTATAGGACAGAATTAAATGTATCCATATTTCCAGACACTTCACACGGAGCACTGGGACACCCAGGGGCTCTGCCACCAGCACATGTTTAAGTGCCTCTCACACCCCGGGACAAAGCCCAGCTCCCTTTGTTCAGCATCCGGGGGGCCTCCACAACTTGTCCCTCCACTCTCATAGCCAGGGAGTCCTTTCAGTCTTTCCGAAGATGCTGCACAGCCCCTACAGCACCAAGTCTACGCCAGCAGCAACAAGGCCTGGGCCTTCCGCACGAGCCTCCCTGGGAGACCCGCAAGGAAGGGATGATTATGTTTGGGGCAGAACACCTGTTCTGGCTGCCTGCACTGTTGGTACTGCTCTGTCTGGGGCTATCTGCCACTCAGGCTGGGACCTGAGAGGAGGGCTAATCTGATTGCCTCCCACTGTCTCGCTGAGGTGCAGCCCCACCCACACAGGAGACCAGAGGGCCTGATGGATTGAACCTAGAAGGGGCAGCAGGTGCGGTGCAGACTACTCACACCCAGGCCCTGGAAACCCAACCCCAGAGCACATGCCTGAGCAGAGTGGAAAATCTCACCTAAATCTGCACACACCATGGAAACATTCTAACCGGCCACTCCAGAGGTCCCCATGCTCAGGGTATTGACTGGCCCACACCGCCTCTGCCCCACCCCCACGCGGTGAGGGCCTGTGGCCATCACTAAGTTCAGGAACCTAGACACTGCTCAAGGCTGGTTTCTCCACCTCTCCCTTCACGGTAAGGATTTGCCCCCTGCAGTGCGAGATCCTAAACAAGGCTGTCTGGCTGCACCTGACCAGACTGCGTCCTCTCCTCCCCCCAACAGGACTTGAGTTCTCAATCTGGGTTAATTGATAACTGGAACCGTCAGGCCTCAGTGGAGCGGCAACGATGAGAGCGCGTGAATGGAGGTGGGGCAGTAGGGGATGCTGACCATTCCAACACTCCCGCTAGGCCCTGGGCGGTGTAGAATGATTAGGGGCCAGCTCTCAGCGCCCAAACCCTTGGTGTCACAGGACAGCTGGGAGAGGGAGACAAAACTCGGAGCAAACAAGTCCCAGCTCCACGAAAGGAAGGGGGCCCAAGACAGGTGCAGCAGGCCGGCTAAGATAGTGCTTCTCTGCCCTCTACAACTCCGAAGTGACAGTCGAACTCCCACCCCCAGTCCTCGCGGTCAGTGGAGAAACTGCCCCCAAAATTCGCACTCGGGGCGGCTGGGAGGCACCTACGAGCCTCACTCCCCGGCGCTTGCGCCCGCGCTTCCCGAGGCTCACCTGGCTGCGGCCGGACAGCGAGAAGGTGGCGTGGCTGGCGAAGCGTGCAGTGCCCAGGCGGGGCGCGCGGTCCGGGACAGAGGGCGCCGGCGGAGGGCTGGGCGTGCCTGGTGTGCCAGGCGCGGGGGACAGCCCACTCGCCAAGCCCAGTGCCTCCACCTGGCGCGTCAAGCGCTCGAGCTGCGCCTGCAGCCGCTGGTTGTCGCGCTGCAGCTCCGCTACGGTGCGCGCCAGCGGACTGGCCAGGCGCAGCGCATCGGCCACGCGCCGCTCCACGCCGCGCTGCAGCCCCTGCATGTCCTCGTGCAGCGCGCGCACCGCGCCCTCCAGCGCCGCCTCGTAGCGGCCCAGGGCCTCGCGCACCGCGCGCGCCTCCGCGGCGTCGGGGGCCGGCTCCATGGCCGAGCAGGGTGCGTAGCACTGAGACTGAACCTGGCAGCGAAAGGAGCCAAACTCCGCAGCTCTCCGCCGTGACTGGCGGTCAGAAGCTGGGCTCGTCGGAGGGGCGGTGGGAGGAGCGGGCGGAGGGCGGAGCGGGCCCCCGGAGCCCGGGACTGGGTGCCGCGTGGAGGCGGGGGCGGGGCCTCGAGGGCGGGCCTGGGGCCGGGAGGGCTCTGGCACCCCCTCCTGCAGACCCCTGAGGGGTAGGTGAGTCGGTGGGGCCCTAGGAAACACCTAAGAAGAGCTCGCTCGGCCTCTCAGTTCCTCCGGTTCGAGTCGCGGGGGAGTGCTGAGTCCGATTCCCCCTACCCCAGAATAGCAGCGTGCGGAGAGGGGCTGCGGGCCCACCGGAAGAAGACCTTGCGCCCGCAAAGTGGGCTTGACTTTGGAGATCACAGACGTGGGTTATGCTTTCCCTAGGCGTTCTCAACCCGCAGGTCCCGGGCCCTACGGGGGATGGGGGGAGGACTTCCCGACTGCTCTGGGAGACCTGAGAGCAGCCACCGCAGTCCCCAGCACTGCCCCCTGACACCCACCCTGTGCTCGGCGTTGCCTTCTCCACAACTTGGGCGCTGACTCTCACAGGCGCACGCTCACCTGTGGGACCTTTGCCTAGATTTTTTTTTGCTCCTGTTATAAGACCTAAGAGAGTAAAAGAAAAGTGGTAAGGTTCCCTCACTGTCTCTCCCCTCCCTGCCCCACTCTGTGTAGCAGGAGCTTGTGCCCTTCCCACCAGTCAGTAGGGGCCCCAGGCTCACCAAGGGGCTCAGTGTTAGGAGATCAGCAGAGGCCAAATCAGGCAGAGAGGAAAGGGTTTAGGGACTAATCTCCAAATCCTGGGATGGACGACTTTGGGGCTGATCACCCCCTCCCTCCATTAGAGTCTGTCACTAGCCCCTATCCGTAGGCCAGGGCTCCCACCTCTGTTCCCTCTCAACGATTCTTTTATGCCTGAACCCAGATCTTCCTCACTCCCAACACCCCCACCCTTCACAAGAAAAGGAAGAATGGAAACAGTTATTCCTTTAGGATGATAGGATTATGGGCACAGATACAGTAAATTTCCATGTATACTGCATTGTAAAACTGATTTAAAATAAAAATGGGCACATCCCATCCTTGTCTGTGCAAAAAAACCTTTCCTGATTAGCCTTCTCCTGCTCAGGCCTGGCCCACCTAAAGGATTCCTGGTAGCTGGGCAGGCACAGCCAGATGACCTCAGGAAGGAGAGATCTCAAAGGCTTGGTCTTGCTGCATTAGGCTTCCAAAGATGTTTGGGGCCACAGACCTCCTGGACTGGCCTGTAGTGCCCCAAAGGAGCTGGATCAGCTTAACAGATGCTGAGTGCTGATCCCCCTCCCCCCTCCACCTTGGGGACAGGAAGCAACACTGGGTTACCTAATCCAAGCAGCCTTCCAGCAATTATTTCATGAGAAAGTCAAGTGCCAAAAGGCGTGCATGTTGCATGTGTGTGTGCACGTGTGGGTTCCAAATAGCTGCCTGGACAGGGTAAGCCAAGTGGCTCCCTGCATTCTTTCTCTGGGTAGACTCTGGTAGAGATAGAGAGACACTGCTGCTGCAGCTTCCGCCCAGATAGCACTTGCCGCTGCTACAGGTCTGAGCTCAGGAGCCTGGAGTTCAGAGACCCTGGTCTTAGGCAGAAGAGCCCAGTCCCTTCCTTTGCCAGACCCAAGGGACCATCATGTGGGGGAGTCTTAGGAGGGACTGTCCAGCTGGACCCTTGGCCCCACAGCCAATGTGCACCTGGGTATGGGCCTGGACCAGCAGCATGGGGAGTAGGGGTGGCTGGCAGGGGTCCAGCCTTCTCTCCTATTCTCCAGGGGAAAGAAGGCTGGCCAGGCGTCTGGGGTGGGGACCCTAATGGTGTGGAAGACGTGAGAGATAATAGAGACTGGCTGCCCAGGTCCACCCACACATCCCACCTCACATAGGTTCTGGTCCCTCCTGACCCACCACAAGCAGATCTGAGAGGGGCTGCTTGGGGGCAGGGAAGGGCTCCATCTGTGGCTGAAGTAGGGACTATGTCAAGGGCAGAGATGGGCTCCCTGTGGGTTCTAGGAAGGCAGACAGTTCAAGAATCAAGCCATCCCCCTCGTCTCCTCTTCTTCGGGGGTCAGACCATTGAGTCAGCTGGAAACAAGCCTAGGAGATAAGGAGAGATGAACCAGAACCCGAGGAAGATGTGCAGAGGGGCAGGGGGGCAGACAGGGGGGAAGGGGACAATTCTGGGGTGGGGTTGGGGCATGAAGACCAGTGCCCCGCCCCTCCGAGACCTGGCTCCATGCCAAGTGGAGAAAGGCTCCTGCTCAGCTCATCTCTAGTCTCCCTCCCCCTACCCTCCAGCTCATGTCCCGCCCAGTACCAGGCTGTGAGGGAGGTGAGGGCTGATGGGCCTGAATGACTCCCTCCACATTCACCAGCCCTGATGTCAGCAAGCCTGTCAGGCTGCCTCCCACCGGGTCCTGGGGGCTCTGGCGCCTGCCCTCCCAGCTCCCTCCCAGCTCCCCCTCACCTGGCTCTGACCCCTCAGCTGCCTGCCAGTCCCTAACCTGCTCTGATTCTAGGCTAGAAGCAGGATGTGTGACAAGCCTTCCGAGTTCCCCTGCCAGTCAGTCCCCTCGTGAGATCAAATCCTTGCCAGGACAAAACCACAAAGTCAAGTTAGCTAAAGTCATGGACCTGAGATGGGAAAACTGAGGCTCAAGAGAGACAGGGACTGACCCTAGGCCACACAGCAAGGCATACAAAGACAGAACTGGAACCAGGGCCCCAGCCCCAGATCTGAGACACTTCTTCCCGGGTGCTGTTACCCCAGCATGCCACCCTGGGGCAGCAGTCAAATCCAGCCAAGTCTCAGAAGCCCCTCCCTGCTCTCAGCTTGGTTGGAGGCTCCACTCCTGTGGAATTGCTCCTCAGAGGTCTCCAGGCCCCCATCCCATGGGCCTGTGGCCCCTAAGGGCCAGTCCTTCCTCTTCCTCCCTCTAGGCTCTCACCTTCTTGCTCTTTCCTCCCTGAGGACCTTCCAGAGTGACTGTTCTTTCTCCCATCCCTTTTTTAGAGATAGGGAAAGGGAGGAAGAAAGAAAGGGAAAAAAACATTGAGGTGGCAGAGAAACATCGATTGGTCACCTTCCATACGCTTCCTGATTGGGAACAAACCCACAACCCAGGCATGTGCCTTGACTGGGAATTGAAACCTCGACCTCTCAGTTTGTGGGACAATGCCCAACTGACTAAGCCACGCTGGCCAGGGCCACTCATCCTTTATCTATGGTGGTCCCTAGCACTCTGACCTGGGCCTAACCCCCTTTCACCTGCACACCCTTCCCAGGGCGGGGAGGTCACCATGCTGATGACTCCCACTTCCCCACCTCTCATCCACCCTATTCCACCCCACTGTCCTGAAGGACCCACCCAATCCCCAGACTCCTCAGGTCCTGAGAATGCACACAGGCATACAGAGTGAAGGCGGGACATGAGAAGTGGGATGGCTTGGTTCTCCACAGGCCTCTGCCCACTGGCCTGGCACTGCCCCCACCCTCTGCACCAGGTCCATGAGCATGGAACAGCACTTGCACATGCTTGCATGCTGGCGTCAGACCCCACCCTTGGAGTGCAGGGACTGCCTGCCTCAGCTGTTCATTTATCCCCACACCTGGAGTACAAGTAGCTTTAGAAAGTGCTCAACAAACATTGGGTGATTAAAAGTCTGTGGAGAGGGGACCACTGGAAAGTCAGTGAGACCAACAGGACTACTGGATGGATGGACAATGGGAAGGAAGGCAAAGATGGCTTCAAAATGCTAACTCGGGTATCTGGGGGCTATGGAGTTACCACTCACCAAGATAGGTCACAGAAAGGGTGCATTAGAGGGCATGGGAAGCCATGGGCATGGTTCACAGGTGCTACCCAGAACCTATCTCCAAGGTCAAATGAGCCTTTGCACGGGGTCAAAGACAGATGCCAACCTCACTGGTCAGCTCACCCCTCCAAGTCTCTCTTCCAGGAAGGGCTCAGGTTGGACCATCATAGCCAGGTCAGACTCATTTTCTGTCAGGCCCTAATTGGCCCTATTATACCCCCAGTGCAGCCCGAAGCTTGCTGGGGCAGCTAAGAGGCTTCATAACTGGGAAGGTGCGTGGAAGCAGCTGTACCCCACTCCTCATTGTCCCAGCTGCAGGCACCCAAGAGGAGCAAGCTAATGAGGATTCCAGAGCACACTCCAGGACTGGACACCCTGGCAAATGTACCATCCCCCCTCCTGTCTCCTCCCAAATCCTGAAATCCAGCCTCTGTCCTAGAAACTGTTGCCTTGTTATGGGATCCATAGGGGTGGGGATGCAGGGCTTGTATTTATCTTTTCCTGCCAGGTTGCTGGGTTCAGGAGCCAAGAAGCGTGCTCAGGAGGGAGTCAAGAGCTGCAGTAGAGGCTGTGCCGGAGCAGACGCTGCAGGGTGGGTGAGTCTTGGAGCCGCCAGGCCTCACCTCCAGCCAGGACCCGGGAGCGGGGCTCATGGGGTTCTGCCCACTGCCCCACCACTGGGAGCAGAGCCCCTGGGGCTGATTCTGGGCAGTGGGGAAGAGACATCTGCCCCTGGTCACTCCAACTCCTCCCTACAAACCCTTCTTTAAAGTTCGTCCCTCCACCCCAGGGCCACTGTGCCAGACACATATGTAAACTCATAGTGTTCATCTTTCCCCATGTATCTGAGGGTTTATCTGAGCATGAACTGTGCTTGTACATATGTGTGTGGGGTATCTGTGTAGAGGAAAAATGTGGGAGTTACAGTTCTAAGACCAGCACACATATGTGGCCTGTGGGGTGTGTGCACATTTGCAAGAACCAATGTTTCCAGGGAGGATATTTGCACATTTGCTAGTAGTGATTAATGTATTTATAGACACACATATGTATGCATGCCTGCAGTACATGTCAGCATAGACATCAAGACGTGCCCTATGCTGTTGATAACACACACATGCTTATACACATATGTCATTTGTGTAAATGTGCTTACACATGTC